AAAAAAAAAAACAAAACCTCCCCCTAGCTGTGAAACATCCTTAACTGAACCAGTATCACCCATACAATATTAAACACCATGAATAAGCATTAGTCTCTGGGCAACTCCACTATGTCCTTTCCACTTCCTTGCATATATAATTAAAAAAGGAACTTACCACTACACCTCATCTCATCCCTGATCAAAATTAGCCTCACAAGCTGCTGTCCATAGAAAAAATTCCACTTTCTTGTGGAGAAAACACCATCCACTGATTCGAATACAGAATGAGTTCATAGAAGAAAGTTTTTAACTTGACTCATTCTCCACATCATCTCAAATGCGCATAGATAGAGTTTTTACGACAACTTTAACAACTCCCCCTTTTCACCTTGCCAAATTCTATGCAATGACAAAGCCCATTATGCACATTTGCAAAGCTCACAAGGTTTATGACTGAGAAATGTGCTGGAACCTGGAACTTGACCATCTAGTACTTCCGTATCACACCATGCATCCCCAAGCTCAGGGAGCCTAGCTGATGAACCAAATTGGAAAGGAACGATCTTATGGTACATTGACTAAGGCTTCTTCCAGGGTAGTTTGATGCATAGGAAAATTTGCATAATATACTCAAGAATATTTCAAAAAAGGTATATGTACCTATCATCAAGATTGCAAACGAGATACCAAAATGTCTACAAATGCCACACGGCAATTGAATATAAAGAATTTCCCAGCCCTCTGAGGACACCTTCAATAGACCACCAATTTAGGCAGCTCCAAACCTCCCTCATTACTCAACCTCCGCATACCTTCCCATGCTTCGCTCTCACTGATTTCTATAATTAGATATCTTCGCCATAAATGTCCATAACCATTTGAAAACAATGCAAGATGAAGAGCATTCCAATTTCCTAGCCCTCTTCCTTCACCAACATTGCACCAAATCATATTTGATTCCTTCATCCAGCCCTCCCCAAAGAAAGTTACTTCGATCTGAAGTTCCTCGAGTCTTTTAATTGTCGAGAACGGCAAAAGTAAATCCGAAGGCTTGACAATGTGTTTTCTTCATCGAAGACATCCAATGTGTTTTTTTACCCTTTCATGAATTAGGCACCTGCTAAATACAAAACAAAAATATAACTGCCGAAAATTGGGGGGAAAAAAAAGGTCAATTGTGTTTGAAGTGGTTACCCTGAGACTAACCAGGGGTATGAACAGGCCAGGCTCTCTCTCTCTCTCTCTCTCTCTCTCTCCCTCTCCCCTCTCTCTCCAGCGAGATATATATTTGTATGTGCTAAGCATTTGATTCTTGCTTAGAGCATTTGAACTTCCCATTTTTTCATATTTGTGCTTCACTTAATCCTAGGCATAGTTTGAGTTTACGAAGATTTTATCTGTTATATGATATATTTTTCAACACTTGGCGTGCATAGCACATAGTATATATTGCTAGTATATATTTGTATGTATTAGAAAAGCACATAGTATATATTGCTAGTATATATTTGTATGTATATATCTGTTATATAAAATATAAATACATGTAAAAAGATGAATTTCTTGAAATAAGTACAATTCTTTGTCAATATAACCAATTGAGTTTGTGCAAGTTCAACAAACCCAACCTACCTACAAGTGTTGCACACATTTTCAAAATGTTACAAAGTTAAGCATGACGTTCAATTATATTATGAAATACTATAATGTTAGTCTCAAATCAGTTGGTACAAAGCAAATTAGGACAAAAGCTACAAATATAGCATTAAATGCATAAATTCATGTATCAAATTGCAATAAAAGAAAAAAAGAGAATGCTATAAAAATGGCAAAAAAAAACATAGAGGACTTTAGAGTAAAAAAGCAAGAGAAGCTAAGTACAATGCATACGTTGATTTTTACTTTAAACTAGATACAAAAGATAGGGAGAAAATGATATATAAACTTGCTAAATTAAGAGAAAGAAAAACTAGCCATATTAAAAGTATTAAGAGTGAAGGCTCTAAGATTTTGATACAACGTGAGCAAATTACAGAAAGGTAAAAGAATTACTTTGAAAAATTACTAAACAAGAATCATATAAGGACCTTAGACATTGAGAACCATAGAAATCATAGGTAAATCAGAAAAAACACATTTTTTTGTGGAAAGAATTTTTTAGTACCTATACACAATGATCAAAATTCTGTTTCGGTGTATTGTTTTGATTATTTAGAAAATAGAAACGTTTCGACAATTTTCGGAAACGTTTCGATCCGTTTCAAAAACATAAAGAAAATAATAAAAAATTTAAGAATTATTTTTTCAAAACGTTGGTCAAAATATATCAAAGTATATTGAAATACTTTGAAACATTCCGAAACAATTGTGAAAATGTATTGAAATAATACAAAAAATCTTGAAATATTATGAAATACCTCGAAATATTAGAATTTTGATTCCATCATTGATTCGTTTTAGTCTCCTTGAAAATGAAAACATTCCGAACTTTTCAAAACAAAATTTTGATCCTTGCCTATATATAAGAATAATGAAGACATGTAAAGTTGCACAAATTATTGAATTATTAAACCAATAAGTCAAAGAGAGAGAGTGATTGAACAAAGACTAAGATTTGAAATAACAGAATCTGATAATCAGTTTGAATTTATGCTTGGGAGATCAATAATGGAAGTTTTATATTTACTTTAGAGACTAATAAAGATATAGGAAAAAAAATAAGGACCTTCATATGATTTTTATAGACTTAGAGAAGGCATCTGATAAAGTCTCTAAAGATATATTATGGAGGGTTCTAAAGAAAAAATAAGTTACTATTAGATATAATGATATAATTAAGTATATATAAGTAAATGCAAGACTTTGGGAACAACGACAGCAAAGACTAATGAATATATAATGGTTCTGCTTTGAGTTCATATTTTTTTGTGTTGATTATGGATGAATCGACTAAAAACATTTAGGATAAACTCTCATGTTGTATGTTATTTACGGATAATATTGTATTATTTGGTGAACGTAAAGAAGGAATTAAGAATAAACTAAAAATATGGCGATAAGCTTTACAATCAAAAAGATTTAAGACAAGTAGGACTAAAACTAAATATATGAAATGTAACTTTAGTAAAAGGTAAAATCCAAATTAGATAGTAGTAAAAATTGAAAATCAGGAGATACAAAAGAGTGAAATATCTAGGGTCTATTATTCATAAAGAGTGTGTGATTGGTAATGATGTTGCGCATAAAATTAAAACAAAATGGACTAAATTGAATGAATTTGATGTATCGGGTGACAGTCGCACTATGCTTTATGGTACTAAGTGTTGGACAACCAAAAAACATCACATTCAAAAATTGTGATTGGCACAAATGAAAAAATTAAGATGCGTCTGCAGTAAAACTAACAAGGATAGAATTACGACCAATTACATTCGTGAAAGAGTAGAGGTGAGGTTGTTTGGACATATTTATAGACGACGAACCAGTGGGAAAAGAGTGATATGATAGCTATTGGTAAGTATGGGGGCAGTGAAAGGTCAATGGTTAACAGAAAGTCTAACCCTTAATAGATCACAATAGCAAAAAATAATTCATGTAGCCAATCCCAAAAATATTAGGACAAGATTTTGTTGATTTGAGTCGAGTACATCACACAAATCTACCAACTCCTTCCACGAATAATATGTCCAATTTAATGTTCTCTTAAACTTCATTTTACACCAAAAAAAAAAAAATAGGTAACGGATCCCCTAACAATTGACGTACTCACAAATGGCCCCTCACGTTTCAACAATAACACATACAACCCCAATCGTTAGAGCATTGGCGATTTCAACAAAAAAACAATTTTACTATATTTGACTGTTCAAAATTAAATAAAAAACGAAAAAACTCATCCATATTCTCACTCATGTTACCCATCACAATAAATCATTGCCATATCTCTTCTTCCATCTGTATCTCCTTCTCTCCCANTAATGAATATATAATGGTTCTGCTTTGAGTTCATATTTTTTTGTGTTGATTATGGATGAATCGACTAAAAACATTTAGGATAAACTCTCATGTTGTATGTTATTTACGGATAATATTGTATTATTTGGTGAACGTAAAGAAGGAATTAAGAATAAACTAAAAATATGGCGATAAGCTTTACAATCAAAAAGATTTAAGACAAGTAGGACTAAAACTAAATATATGAAATGTAACTTTAGTAAAAGGTAAAATCCAAATTAGATAGTAGTAAAAATTGAAAATCAGGAGATACAAAAGAGTGAAATATCTAGGGTCTATTATTCATAAAGAGTGTGTGATTGGTAATGATGTTGCGCATAAAATTAAAACAAAATGGACTAAATTGAATGAATTTGATGTATCGGGTGACAGTCGCACTATGCTTTATGGTACTAAGTGTTGGACAACCAAAAAACATCACATTCAAAAATTGTGATTGGCACAAATGAAAAAATTAAGATGCGTCTGCAGTAAAACTAACAAGGATAGAATTACGACCAATTACATTCGTGAAAGAGTAGAGGTGAGGTTGTTTGGACATATTTATAGACGACGAACCAGTGGGAAAAGAGTGATATGATAGCTATTGGTAAGTATGGGGGCAGTGAAAGGTCAATGGTTAACAGAAAGTCTAACCCTTAATAGATCACAATAGCAAAAAATAATTCATGTAGCCAATCCCAAAAATATTAGGACAAGATTTTGTTGATTTGAGTCGAGTACATCACACAAATCTACCAACTCCTTCCACGAATAATATGTCCAATTTAATGTTCTCTTAAACTTCATTTTACACCAAAAAAAAAAAAATAGGTAACGGATCCCCTAACAATTGACGTACTCACAAATGGCCCCTCACGTTTCAACAATAACACATACAACCCCAATCGTTAGAGCATTGGCGATTTCAACAAAAAAACAATTTTACTATATTTGACTGTTCAAAATTAAATAAAAAACGAAAAAACTCATCCATATTCTCACTCATGTTACCCATCACAATAAATCATTGCCATATCTCTTCTTCCATCTGTATCTCCTTCTCTCCCACTCAGATATATCTCTCTCTTCCCTTTCCTTCCAAGTTAGATCTCTTTTCTTCGTTTCACAAAAGTCATTGGCACCATCGCCACCACCATTGCCAGAACAGCATAGCAATTGCCCATTCAAAACACCCATCCAATTCCAATTTTACCTGTGACCACCAAACTACAATTTCCACTCCACTTGAAAAGGAACCAATGGATTCAAACATGCACTTTGTGTCTATGTGTGTTATTCATACATACATATGCATGACTATGCTAGTGGTCCTACAGAAGGGTTGGTGGTGTTAGTGTTCGAAATATATAGCATCATACAATTTGATCTCTCTCTCTCTCCTCCATTATCTCATTTTGGTTTTTTCAATGTCAAAATTAAAATGCAAGAATCTTCGGTAATTGCCAATCAATTTGGAAGACTGCAGCAAAATTTCTTAGGGTTCACAACTTACATGCTTGATATGGATCAATTATTGTGTATTTTTTTGCTTTGATTTGTTTTAAAAACATGTCATTTT